CCAGGGTAGCCAACACACTCTTCTGACCTCCTTGTACACCAGGCATGAATGTGTTGTGTAGACAAAACAGTCATACACATAAAAATGAATATTAAAAAGAATGGCTCCTTAAAAATGAATCTGTTAAACAAGGCATGGTGTCACACACCTTTAATCCCAGCACTAGGGAGGCAGAGGTAGACAGATCCCTGTGAGTTTGAGGCCAGCCTGATCAACATAGCAAGTTCCAGTACAGCCAGGACTATGTACAGAGAACCTGTCTCAGCAATAACAGAGCAGTGGGGTGGTGTGGATTATCAAGTAATTCCAAAATTGTAGCAAAGGTCATCCCGAACGTTGATGGGTCAGGAGACATTCCTTTCATTGGCAAGCAATGCCAAAGATCTGGCTGGCATCTCAAGGTATGCTGGGAAACTACACTACAGTACAGTCATGGTGGCCTCTGGGTGACAGGACCTTGTTCTCTTTCCGAGCAGGCAAAGAGGAGATGCTGAACCAGCACGACTACGAGTCAGCTTCACTGCAAGAGGTGCGTGCTCTGCTGAGGCGCCACGAGGCCTTTGAGAGCGACCTGGCTGCACACCAAGACCGGGTGGAACACATCGCTGCGCTGGCCCAGGAACTCAAGTAGGCGTGGCCAGAGGCATGGCCCTGACCCTTCCCATTGAGCCCCACCCAACTCCTCTGTCAGACCCTTGGTAACCAAGTGATGGCACCCTGTTTCCTCTCACACCATTACTGAAGCCCTTCCTGAAACACCATTCCCAACCCCTACATTTATCCATTGACACTTTCCCAGTCCCACTGCATGGTGAAACCTGTCCCCCATGACCTGAAAACCCCTTTCACCTCAGATGTTAGCCCACCACCCCAGTCAGCCTTGGCCTCACCAACCACCTCCTCCAGTTCCTCTTCTCCCACAGTCCTGCTTCTGAAACCCCAGGCTCCACATCAGGACATCTCCAGGGACTGGAACTGAGGATCCTGGGTGCCAGTCTTCCTGCAAGAACACACTGACACCCCTGAAAGAAAAAGCTCCTCTCTACCACATACCTACTCTGGCTGCCTAGCAATCACTCCTGCACCCTCACCCCACCTTGGGTTTCACCAGGGTTCGATTTAGGCCAGGGTCTGCCTCTAAATGCATTCCCCTTTTGACCTATCAGTGAGCTGGACTATCATGAGGCAGCCTCGGTGAATAGCCGCTGCCAAGCCATCTGCGACCAGTGGGATAACTTGGGTACACTGACCCAGAAGAGGAGAGATGCACTAGAGGTGGGCAGGTGGTCCAGGGAACTGAGGACAAGGTGAGGAGTCCAGCAAGCTACAGAGGGTCTGATCCATGGTCCTCCTGACCCCTAGAGGATGGAGAAGCTCCTAGAAACCATTGACCAGTTGCAACTAGAGTTTGCTCGGCGGGCAGCACCCTTCAACAACTGGCTGGATGGGGCTATTGAGGACCTGCAGGACGTGTGGCTAGTGCACTCTGTGGAAGAGACTCAGGTGAGTGCAGGCATTAGGGGAGAAGTTTGGGAGGCACTGAACATAATGAGAGGTAAACTAGTCTCACATCCCATCAGCCACACCTTTGGGTTCCTGGCTAATAGGTATAGGAAGCAGGAAAAATCCCCAGTTATATAGTGCTGGGCTGGCAGGCAAGAGGCCCAGATTCTTAAACCAGTCCTGCACCAACTACTAGGTGGCCTAATTCCCTGTTCTGCCTCCTCTGTTGCTTGTGATAAGTGGGTGCGCTGGCTGATCCTTTCTGTTCTCCCCCAGAGCCTGCTAACAGCACATGAACAGTTCAAGGCAACATTGCCCGAGGCTGATCGAGAGCGAGGTGCCATCCTGGGCATCCAAGGAGAGATCCAGAAGATTTGCCAAACGTACGGGCTGCGGCCAAAGTCTACCAACCCCTACATCACCCTCAGTTCACAGGACATCAACAATAAGTGGGACACGGTCAGTGTCACTGGCAACCCTGCATAGTCCCCACTTGCACGTTTGAATCAATGAAACCTCTGGTGTCCCAAGATATGGGGAATAAAGCCCACCTCTATCCAGATCTTGGGTCTGCCACAGATTCCTCATGGCATTGGATAAGCTTGAACACCATTTCTCTATCAGGATTGACAGACATATAATTTACTGTATGCATATCATCCACAAAGCCCACCTATACTAGTTATGTCATTGGGCACTATTGTACAGATGAGGAAACTGGAGCCTATAAATATGAAGCCATTTGCCTCAGAGTTTATCCCAATGTGTCTCATGAGAACAAGAACTGAGGTTTGAAGGCCTGAAGGCCATCTTGCCTCAGAACCATCTCCTGGCCCTCAGACTCAACCACTCTCCTTCTCAGGTCCGAAAACTGGTACCCAGCCGTGACCAGACACTACAGGAGGAACTGGCACGGCAGCAGGTGAATGAGAGGCTCCGGCGACAGTTTGCAGCCCAGGCCAATGCCATAGGACCCTGGATCCAAGGAAAGGTGGAGGTAAGGACTTGGAGAGCTGGGACAGCTCAGGGAATGGGGTTGAGGAAGTTAAGAATTCTTATCTTGCCTGGGTACCCCTGCAGGAGGTAGGGCGACTGGCAGCTGGGTTGGCCGGCTCTCTGGAGGAGCAGATGGCAGGTCTACGGCAGCAGGAACAGAACATCATCAATTACAAGAGCAACATTGACCGGCTGGAGGGTGACCACCAGCTGTTGCAGGAGAGCCTGGTCTTTGACAACAAGCACACAGTCTACAGCATGGAGGTGGGGGTCTCACCCTTGAGAAAAAGGGAAGGGAAGCCTGATGTGACCATAGCTGAATAGAGCAAGCTTTTCCAATGCCCCATGGCAATATGGCTATCCAGCAATTGGAAGTAACTAGTCCAGGCCAGGTATGATGCACACCTATAATGCCATCACTTGAGAGGTAGAGGCACAAAGATCAGGACTTCAAATGTCATTCTCAGCTACATAGCAAGTTCAAGGTCAGCCTGGGGTTTATGAGGCAAGAAAGAAAGGGGCAGGGAAGGAAAGGAAAATGATAAGTGACCTGTTCAGAGTCAAAGCATCCTAAAACCCACCCCAGGACTGGCCATGGCTGGTTGATCAATACTTAATACATAGTAAGCCATTATAAGATAGACAGTGCCAGGCCGGGCGTTGATGGCGCACACCTTTAATCCCAGCACTTGGGAGATAGAGGCAGAGGCAGGCAGATTTCTGTGAGTTTGAGACCATCCTGGTCTACAAGAGCTAGGTCCAGGGCAGCCTCCAAAGCCACAGAGAAACCCTGTCTCAATATAGTGCTGCTTAGAGTCACTTAGGGAAACTTCAAGATGGGGACAGAGGCCCAATAAAGGGGAGGACTTGTCCAATGCCACATAACGGATTAAGAATACAACTAACTAGACAGCCAGGTGTGTTGGTGTATGTCTTTAATCCTAGCACTTGGGAGACAGAGGCAGGTGGAGCTCTGAGTTTGAGGCCAGCCTGATCTACATAGAATTCCAGGACATCCAGGGCTACATAGAGTGACCCTGTCTCCAAACAAACAAACAAAAAACTGGAGTAAGGACAAAGAGTGGGCCACCCACTGACTGCCTTGTCTCTTGCCCTCTAGCACATTCGTGTGGGCTGGGAGCAGCTGCTCACCTCCATTGCTCGCACCATCAATGAGGTAGAGAACCAGGTATTGACCCGAGATGCCAAGGGCCTGAGCCAGGAGCAGCTCAACGAGTTCCGGGCATCCTTCAATCACTTTGACCGGGTCAGCAGGGCCGCAAGTCCTGTGGGCTAAGAGATGGGGGGGGCGGGGTTGGTGGGATTTGGAGACCAAGCCTGATATCCATTTGCCCTCCACAGAAGCGAAATGGGATGATGGAGCCTGATGACTTCAGAGCTTGCCTCATCTCCATGGGTTATGACCTGGTGAGTCTCCTACCCACTTCTACAAGTATCATCAGTTCCTCTCCTTCTGTCTGGCTCCCTCTTCACACAAATCATCTCTGTTCATCACACCCACACAAAGGCTATCTAAAGCACAGAGGTAAATCAACTAGTTGTATACAACCTCAAGGTCTTAGCTTGGACCATGCCCCCACTCCCAAGAAAAAATGCTAAATCATAAAATATCAAGCAAACAAGGGGGAGTTGCCATGGGCAAAAGACAGATTTCTGCCTAGCATGAAGAACTCCCTAAAGCCAAGCTGATAATGTCTTGGGAAGAAGAGGATACGTTGTCACTGGGTGATGCAAATCAAGTATGGAAAATCCCCAGGAGAGGACATAAGGAGCTCTCTTGACTTTATCACTTATGGACACTGTGCTTGCCCTCTGTCTCTGCAGGGGGAAGTGGAGTTTGCTCGAATCATGACTATGGTGGACCCTAACGCAGCTGGGGTTGTGACTTTCCAAGCCTTCATTGACTTCATGACTCGAGAGACTGCTGAGACAGACACAGCTGAACAAGTTGTAGCCTCCTTCAAAATTCTGGCAGGAGACAAGGTGGAATCCCGTGTGGTGGAGGGGCTGGCAGGCTAGGGCATGACCTAAGACCTGTGGGCCCTTAATGTCTCCTCTTTTTCTAGAATTATATTACCCCGGAAGAGCTGCGGCGAGAGCTCCCAGCTGAGCAGGCTGAGTACTGCATCCGTCGGATGGCACCCTACAAAGGATCTGGGGCTCCACCTGGAGCCCTGGACTATGTGGCTTTCTCCAGCGCCCTCTATGGAGAGAGTGACCTCTGACATTCTTAGGAGAGAAGGAGAGAGGGCATTTCCTGTGGTAGATTCCACTGTCCCTCAGAGAAAGGGCCTCAAGATCATCCAGCACTGTGTTTCCAAATAAAGACCAGGCTATGGTCTCTCCCATTTCCTCTTGTTTCCTAAGGGGAGACTGGGCCCTGGAGTTCTTGGGTAGGACCAGCTACCCACCCTACCTTGACCCACCAGGGATCCCTAAGACCCATCTTTTCCCTCAGAGATTAAGCATTTACACCACACTGGGGAGCAGGGTACCTCTTTATTGCTCTTAGAGAAGGCTGGTTACAAGTTTCCTGGATGTGAAAGGGGACCAGAAAATTTACAGCATCAGACAGAGGAAAACCAAGGCAGGAATTCAGAGCTCACTGAAGACAAAGCTAGGTTATGATAAGACTATTTCCATTCTGCACCTTACCCGAGCCTGGGGTTCCTGCCCCAGCGTTGGCTTCCATGAAAGCCTCCTTCACCTCAGGATCCTCCTAGCTTCCACAATTCAACAAAGATGCAGCTGGGAAACTTCAGGAGGGCATGAGAGGGAGGGAAGAAGGGGCCCAGGGCCCACTGCTCACCCTGAGGTACCAAGAGCCTGTCCCTCAGCCAGCTGCACCTCCTGAGGAGGGGCCTGGGCATGAGTCAGGCTAAAGAAGGGGCCACTGTGGTCAGCATCTGGTCCTCTGCCAGCAAGTCCCTCAGTTCACCACTGCCGAGCTGGCCATAGTATTCACACCACAGGCTCCAGACCCACGATACAAGTAGTAGTAACCCTGAGGGACAGTGGTAATTGGTGAGGGTGCTTGTGGCTTGGTGAGGGTGCTCAGGTAGAGTAAAGCTGAGGGTCAGGGGCCAACCAGGCAAAACTCACCTCCTCACCCCAGTTACTGCCCCAGCTGTTCTTGATGGCCCAATAAGGAGTGTTGGAGCCTGGTAGCAACATAGAATACAAGGAGTCAGAGGCCCCCAATTTTCCACTTGGAGACATATACACTGCCCCCTTCAAATATCTGCAGTGGGCCTACAGGAACTAGGAAAATAGCAAAGAGCCAATGAGGCCCACTTATCCTCATTGAGACCTCATGCACCTATAAGGCTTGCGGACAGCACTTGTCCAATTGCCTCTAGAATAACCCTTCATTCAACCTCCCACAGCCCAGCTTTCCTATCTACAAAGGCATGGGTCTTTCTCTGAGGCTGGGATTCAGGACAAGGCAATACCCGGAGGTTCTCCTCAGAAGGTCTAAGAAGCTGCTATCTAGCCCCTGACCGTGGCCTGGGGTGGCTGGAAGGATAAGCAGGAGGCCAGTGGAACTCACGGTTGCCATAGCCCACCAGCAGCACAGCATGGTCGATGAGCCAAGGGCTGCAGAGGGGCCTGAGAGGGTGGGCAATCCCATGGCGATAGAACTGAGAAGAAAACAAGGAGCAGAGAGGGGGCCAGCTGGAAGAAGTGAGGGAGGCATAAACAAGAGATGGGGCAGGAGCACAGAGGCCAGGACCTCACCTGCATGCCAAAGGCATTGATGGCAACTGAGATCGGTCCTTTCTGGGCCAGCCAGGCTGCCATCTCTAAGAGGGGAAGGCAGTGTCAGTGGTTACCTGGGCCCAGCAGTATCAACCTGGATCCACCACCCCCGCCCCCACTCACTGCTCTCGTTCTTGCTCAGCTCCACTGAATCATTGATGTAAACTTTTGCCTTCTGTGCTGAGAAGTTGCAGGCCTGAACATAGCCTTTGTAGCTGTAGTCATCCTCTGTCTCCAGCCCTCCTGGGAAATGAGTAGGAGTCTGTTAATCACTCACTCATGTTCTCCCGGACATAAGAGTGACAAGCATCCCATGGACATGAAGTCACATGTTCCTTACATATGCTCAAGGCCCCAGGCCTGAGGATCAGGACTCCACTCCCATCTCTGCCTCCTTGCTGAGGCCTCATCCCAGGCTTCCTGGCACTTTTGCTCTTTGCGGCTTGTCCTGCTCTTACAGTCTACTGCTAATATAGCTCAGACCCTTGTTAGGCTCCTGGTCTGTCTGTCTGTCTGTCTGTCTGTCTCTCTCTCTCTCTTTCTCAATTTTGTTTATTTATTTATTATGTCTTCTGCTTGCATGCCAGCAGAGGGCACCAGATCTCATTCAGGGTGGTTGTGAGCCACCATGTGGTTGCTGGAAATTGAACTCAGGACCTCTGGAAGAACAGTGTTAACAGCTGAGCCATCTCTCCAGCCCCGCTACCCTAATTCTTTAGCTCACCATCCCTCTACCGCTGCAGTCTATGGCTGAATTTAATACCTCTCCTCAGGAGAGAGATGTGCTGCTATCTAGTTTAGCAGCATAGTAAGAACACAGACTTCCAGGAAGTGAAAGCATCAAGACTCACTGGGGCCTTGTCATGCACCAAAATCTTCCATCCATTTTCTCACTGGAGACAATCACAAAAAGCGGGCATTGCATATCTCATTTCACAGCTGAGATAACTGAAGGTCTGACAAAACCGACTTGCTGTACATCTTCAGCCAGAAAGGGTCAACATAAAGACCAGAACCCAGTTCAAACAATGCATACCCAAACTCTTTATGGCTGTGTAGGCATTGGAGGGCATTCCACCCAAGCAGGCCTTGTCCATCTTGTCGCAATCCAAGAGCTCTAGGAGACAGAAGGCTGGTTCCAAGGTGCCCTCTGGACAGGCTGGCCTCAACATCAGGGGGATGGAGCAGGATGCTCACCCTGCTCTGACAGGGAGAGCAGAGTCCCCTGGTTCAGGAACCACTGGCCCTCCACATTGCCTGTGACAGAGAAAGCCCAGCAGGAGCCACACATGCCCTGCAAGACAATGCACATGGTCAAGACTCTACCTTTCTTCAGGGTCCCATGCAGTTTGCCTTCTCACCCCTACTTCTGGGATTCCAACCTGGTCCTTCACTTTAGTGACCGCCCCTTTCTTCCTCCAGTCCCATTCAGGTGGGGCGGGATCATTTATGGACTTGGCTAGACTCATCTTGCTGCCAGGCTTCTTTTGTAAGAGGGGATTCAGGTAGATGGTGTAGAATTCCTCCTCTGTAGGTAGATGTGGACAGGGCAGAGAGGGGTGAATATTTTACGATAGTCCAAATGGGGAGCTTCAGGAGCAGGGCCCAATCTCTTCCAAGTTCTGTGAGGGCTCCGGTCATCATCCCTACCTGTGAGGTCACTGAATTTGGTGATCCCATATTGAGCTGTGCCACGGTCCAAGGCCTCAATCTTCTGTGCTTTTACCATGTTTCTGGTAAAGACAGTCAAGCGCCACTGGGTTTCTGAGGACCAAAGAGAAGGAGAGAGGCTGAACCCAATCACATCACAGTAGGAGAGATAAGTGGAGTTAGTTTTCCCCCAGTGAGAGGTAGACTCTGGACTGAGCTTGAAACTTTTGAGCATGTGAGAGTGTGTGTGTGTAGATCAAAGGACAACCTCTGGTGTCATTCCCCAATCACTTTTGTTTCACAAATGGTCTCTTAAAGGCTTAGAACTTAATCAAGTAGGCTCGGCTAGCTGACCATGAGTCTATTTCTGCCTCCCATTTCACTGCTGTCTCGGCTACCTTGCTGGGCTTCTTTGGTTGAATCTGGGGATTGAACTCATTATCTTCACACTTTCAAGGTGACGGCTTTATTAACTGAGTCACTGCCTTAGTCCCTGAAGCTGTTTGTATGGACAGATCTCTGAGACAGGCAGAATAAGACACGGAGGAAACAGACTTCAAAGTGACAAAGTGAGAGGTCACTTTGGGGGCCCAAACTGGAGCAATGACTTCTTGACTATAAAAGCAGTAACCAAAATGAGACCCAAGGGTGACATGCAGGAGAGGTCATGGAAAAGGCCATGATGTCAGAGGGAATCCAACAGAGAACACCTTGTCTCTGCCTTACTCCACCCTGCCTGGAGGGATGGATGCCCATGGTTTCTGGCCAGGAAGATAAGATGGAAAGAGACAGTCCTCTCTTCCTTGACAAGATGGCTGCTTAGAAAGCTGGATAAGAACTTGGGGATTGGGGGGTCCTTGAGAGACACAAGGTCTTTGTGTCCTTTCCTTCCTCAGTATAGGTTGCTAAGTCTGACTGGGACAGGTACAGTTAAGGCTGAGCCCTACCTTCCCTTGATTCATAAGTCCGGTTATAGGTAATCATGAAGTCCTTGAAGACTGTAGTCATCTTTACAGAAAAGTCCTGGGAAGGCAAAAGGGTGTTTGTTTACAAGGAGTTCAGCCTGATCCAGGACACTAATATAGGGTAAAGGGAAGAGAGAAATAGGGGGCAGCTGGCTCTCCCAGATACAGGCTTCTCACCTGGGGTAGGGGCTCCTCGTTCAGCAGTGGAAGGAATGAGCTGAAAGTCTCGTTTCCATGCTCTGGAAAGGGTTGGAACAGAGAAGTAATCAAGGCTGAATTCTGAGTCAAGTATGGACTGGGCTATCCCAGTTTCCTTGAGCTATCCCAGCACCTGTAGCCTTGATATTCACTGGGCCACAGTCCCTCCTCAGTAGCATGTGTTTTCCTAGCTCATCCAGGATTTGGAAGCTGCAGAGCTGGAGGGAGAGAAGGAACAGTCTGGTGACAGATTGGAACAAGATCCTGGCAAGAACAGCTAGAAGCTCCTCAAAGGAGCGCCCCAGAGAAAGGCAATCACAACTTGGTGGAAGGAGGCCCTGGCCAGCAGCAGACACCCAGAACCCAAATACCCATCCTTTCAGAGCATCTTGATCTCTAACTAGTAACTCAGGGTGGTGTAACCTCTGTCTCGTCACAGGACCCATCATTCCAATTGCTTGCCGGCCTAGGGCCAACAATAGCTGGAACCCCACCACTCACCATGGTTTTATTGGTCACAGGTAGCAGGCACAACAGTGGATCATTGCAAAATGGCTCCTCCATTGTGGCTTCCAGAGAGAAGAGAGAGCCTCGACCCGCCTGGAGGGAGGAGAAGGTGAGGCTGGCACAGCCATCTCCCTTTGCTCCTCTTAGGAGCCTGTAGCTCACCTGTGCTTCCCTACCCAATCTTAGCCTGCACAGGTCCCTTCCTCCACCGTTCAGGCAAACACCCAAAATTTAAGTCAAACTCCACCTTGCATCATCATCCCTGGCCCCGGGCCCCGCGCTCGCTCCCTACAAGTCCTCACCCGGCGGACGCGCCCGCGTACGGCCCCCAGCACGGCCCTCGTCCCCGCAGCACGGCCGTAATTGTACATGTCCAGTGCGAAGCGGGCGGGCGCCAGCAGCTCTGAGGACGACAGATCCCAGGCCTGCTCGTCATCGGCCCAGGGCTTGGCGGGGACCGGGACCAGGACCACTGCCCGGAGCAGCGCCAGCAGCCACAGCATCTGCAGCAGAGGCGCCATGACGAGGGCAAAGCTGGGGCCGGGACTCAGCGACCCACAAACTCGAGGATAACCGACCCGGGGCGGAGCCTGCGCTCAGAGGCCACTGAGTGTCTCCCCACGGCCCTGGACGGCGCCGGAGCGGCCAATGGGCACCGATTCTTGGCGCCTGCGCGCTCGCTTATTTACGCGAGACACGTGGGGCACGTGGGGATGGTGGTGGTGGGGAAGGCTGAGAAATAAAATTAGAATTCACTACTTATTCCATCGTTATCTTAAGCAATGAAAGCCAGATCCCTTTAATCATAGCAGACCTGTGAAGTAGGTATTGTCTAGTTTCACAAGTAAGGAAAGAGAAGTTACAGATGGCTCATGATAAGAGTAGAACTTGAACCCAGGCAATTGGTTCCAGAGCCTGGCTTCGCGGCTTGATCTCTCCTTTGAGGCCCCTATTGTCCTTCACAAGATGATCAGTAACATTACTTCTGGGACCCAAGATGTAGCTCAGTTGATAGAGTGCTTGTCTAGCATGCATAAAGCCCCTGGATTCCATAAGCCTAGCGTGGTGAGGCACTTCTGCAATCCCTGCTTTCTGAAGGAAGAGACAAGAAGATCTGAAGTTCAAGGTCATTCTTGGATACATAGTGAATTTGAGCCTAGACTACACGGGTCTGAGTCCCCCAGTCTCCACGAGCCCATATAACTGACTGTTACAAGGTAACCATAAGAGTAACCAACAAAACAATGTGCACAGGGTGGGATCCTGCACTGTGTTCTAGGGCTGCCAAGGGACAGCATCACAACTGAAAATAGAGGGGGAAAATCTCCAAGTGTAAAAGTGTGTGGGGGAATAAACAAAAGGATCATAGCCCAAGATTCATGCTATGTAAGCCTCAGGTACACTTGGTAAACTGCTTGGATACAAAAATCCAATGGTATCGGAGCAGGGAGGCAGGCATTATCCTCGGCTCATTGGAAGAGGAGCTGTTGCCGGGAGCATTTTTATCTGAACCCTTGCAGTTAAAGCTCTTAAAAATGAATCTTGCCACAGGCAGAAGGGCGTGGCTGCAGCACTTAGGAGACAGAGGCAGGTGGATCTCTCTGAGTTCGAGGCTAGCCTGGTATACAGGGCAAGTTCCAGGACAGCCAGGGCTACATTGAAACCCTGTCTCAAAAAAACCAACCAACCCAACGGGGGGGGGGAAGGGAGGGAGAGAGAGAGAGACAGAGAGAGACAGAGAGAGAGAGAGAGAGAGAACAAAAAACCAACAACAAAAAAGTAAAAAAAAAAAA